CTGAAACAGATTCGTGTCGGTGAGATATTTTCCATAGGGTAGATGCTTCGGTAGATATCTGCTACATTTCACTTGGCATGATGAATGTTCACCAAATAGGCGGTTTGGAATGGCTTGTAGGTTTTCTTTTAATGGTTTCGGTTCTTCCCTTTTAGATATAGCATACGTAAAGCATTTTGTATGTCACTTATAGTTTTGGCACTTAGTATCCTCTTATATTTTTTTTTCCGCAAGGCATACAGATTATTTGCAAAGTTTTTGAAAGTATGGTTCTTATCACTACATTTCTGCATGTTAGCATTTCCTTCCAATCTTACTTCATGAACGGTACTGGTGTCATCATCTATAACTCAAGTTTTCACATTGTTCCCCTTGTTTTTAATACTCTTAAGGATGTGTACAGCCATAGATGGTTCGATTTTGAGTTTCCTTCCCAATTCTTTCTACAGTCATGTTCTTTCTTTTCCAGTTCTGGGAGCTCAGCACTTTTACATATTCTACAACTCTTTGCCATAACATCATATCCTACCACCTTTCCAGTTTTACATCCAATCATTGATCCATGGTTGATAAGAGAGAAAAAAAATATTCATTTATACATGAGTGTGTCTCTCTGTTTTACTTTTATATCCATAATAATTGAATGTTCATACGCATGTCTTGATACTGAAAATTGATTTATTACATTTTCATTATTGAAATACTGTTATTGAACTATGACGAGATGTTATCCATGACACTATGAAACTACAAAAAGACATGGGCAAATGGAAAATGAAAGAAAATGTAATAAAAAGAAAAATCAATGTTTTGTAGTTAGATATGGAATTTATTTCAGTCATGAGACATGATTCTTTTTTTTCTACATTTTCACCCATGCTTCATACTCAAGAAAATATTTTAAAAACAACAGGCCCATGGGCCACATCGCTCACCTGAGCTCTGTGGCTAGGAAAAAGTAGAAACTGGTTTATTTTTGAAAAGTTTAAATCCAAAAGTAGTCCCATGGCCAATCATGGATTTGCTATTCTTGAGAAGATTTTTAAAGAATTTTCCTTTATATTTCTATGTAAAAATTTGGTCGACTATTGTGGCCACGCCCTACCCCCGGGGGTCATGATTTGAACAAACTTGAATCTACACTACCTGAGGATGCTTTCCTATGAATATGATCAATTATGGCTTTGCAATTCTTGAGAAGATTTTTAAAAAGTTTTTTTATATGATTTGAACATACTTGTATCTACACTACTTGAGGACGCTTCTATATAAATATGATGAATTATGGCTTTGCTAATCTTGAGAAGATTTTTAAAGAATTTTCCTTTATATTTCTATGTAAAAGTTTGGTCGGCCATTTTTGCACAACACTTCCTGCGAGGGTCATGATTTGAACAAACTTGAATCTACACTACCTGAGGATACTTCCATATGAATATGATCAATAATGGCTTTGCTATTCTTAAGAAGATTTTTTTTTAAATTTCCTATATATTTCTATTTAAAACTTTGGTCGGCCATTTTGGCCCCGCCCTACCCCCGGGGGTCATGATTTGGACAAACTTGAATCTACACTACCTGAGAATGCTTTAGTATAAATATATGAATTATGGCTGTGTCATTCTTGGGAAGAAGATTTTTTAAAAAAAATTCCTATATATTTCTATGTTAAACTTTGGTCGGCCATTGTGGCCCCGCCCTACCCCCGGGGGTCATGATTTGTACAAACTTGAATCTACACGACCTGAGGTTGCTTTCGTATAAATATGATAAATTATGTCTTTGTCATTCTTGAGAAGAAGATTTTTAAAGTTTTTTTTCAATATATTTCGAAGGAAAACTTTGGTCGGCCATTGTGTTTCCGCCCTACCCCCGGGGGTCATGATTTGATCAAACTAGAATCTTCACTACCTAAGGAGGCTTCCATATAAATATGATGAATCATGGCTTTGTCATTCTTGAGAAGAAGATTTTTGAAGAATTTTATATATATTTTTATATAAAAATTTGGTCGGCCATTTTGGCCCCGCCCTACCCCCGGGGGTCATGATTAGAACAATCTTGAATCTACACTACCCAAAGATGCTTCCTCATTAGTTTCAGCTATCCTGGCACAGTGGTTCTTGAGAAGATTTTTAAAACATGCCACCAACTTTTACTTAATTCCCAATTATCCCCCTTTGAATGAGGGCGTGGTCCTTCATTTGAACAAACTTGAATTCCCTTCACCCAAGGATGCTTTGTGGCAAATTTAGTTGAAATTGGTCCAGCGGTTCTTGAAAAGAAGTCGAAAATGCGAAAAGTTTACAGACAGACAGACGGACAGCTAGACAGACAGACGGACGCCGGACAAAATGTGATCAGAAAAGCTCACTTGAGCGTTCGGCTCAGGTGAGCTAAAAACTCTGTCCCACAATTGAAATGATAATGATAAATACATACCAATTCCAAGCTTCGTATTAACATCAAATGGACCTTGGCCATTTGCATCAATGTTGTGTCGCTTCCCCGTTGGTACAATAGTCAACTTCTTGCACTTTGTACAACAGATTAGCAAGATTAGCAAGACCACACTGTCTCTCTTTTACACATTTTGCTAAATCTAGTGGTGTATGACACACAAAACACCTGCGTTTTAGATGTTCAAATAAAACGGCAAACTCCACGATTCTTCGCCCATCAAAGATATGGTGCATGTAGATCTAGAAAATTCATTTTCTTTGGTTTTACCTAGATCCAGATCTAAATCATTGGAACTTATATCATGTTCGTAGGTCTGAGTTTCATTGTTGTTAACGTCAGTACTGTTATTTACGCAAGGCTAGAAAAACTGCTGGTCTCTTTTTCGAAGCAACCTTTCTTGCTCTAGGATTTCCCTCCATATTGTTGATTGTTTACTATAGTAACTTTATTTTAATATATTTTCTTTTCTTTTTTTTCCACAAAAGATTTCCGAAAATTATTAATACCGAGTTTTATGGTACGTACAAACTATTTTCGAATATGTGAGCGAGTTATCTCGCCTTGCTGAGGATCGAAGATCGTTAAATGAAATAATGAAACGCTTTCTTGTTCTCAATTTTGTTAAAAAATACTAGTTCCTTTGATCCGAAAACCGGAACATTAACCGTACTTTTTTTTGCTATTTCTAGGCTGTTTACCGAAAATGAAAATAGACTTTTAATAAAACTTACGAAAATTACTATGCGAGAGAAATCTGAATATAGTTTACGGACATCAACTTATGTATTCCTAGAGGAGTAAGAACTCGGATGCAGCCGTTTCGGAGTTTATTTGCAAAATTTATTAATCTATAGATAAACATTTTTTTGGGAAAGAAAATGTTTACAGCTGTAATCCTTAATTTACGAAAATTTTAACAAGACCACTTTTGACTTTAAGGTACCTGCAATTTTGAAGTTTGAATCGAATGGAAATTAACATTAATAGTAATGAAACAATCGATTCTAGAGTACGATTTATTTAGAAAATACGTTTCTCTTACATATGTATCAGTTTAAATTTAAATACATATTCAATGCAAATGACAAGGATTGACAAATAGCGGTCTGTTGTAAACAATGTCGTTGAAAATTTGTCAGCGTATGATTTTCAAAAATGTGATAAAATCTTTAATCCCTGTAAAAAAAAACCCATGTCGCTCGACATTGTTTAATGTATTGAACGAAACCCTACTTCAAAGAATTTAGAAAGTAAAACTTTCATAATTTTATTTTCTTTGAAATACGAAGCTGAAGCCCACTTATCGTTTTCCCATCCTTTACAGAAATTGCTGGCAACGCAGGTCAATATAGAAATTTTTTTTCCTTAAAATGGACGAAAACCTAATACAGTATGCGTTTTTATCAGTATGGTATACTTTGATAAGTGCATTAATGCTTTATTGAAATGTGCAAGTAAAACAAAGTTACCTGAAATGATTTATAAGGCGTTTGTGGACATTTGCTTTAACACATCTGTCGAGGAACTCGAGAAATCTTTTATATTCAGAAGAATATTCATTCTCTGTCTTGTTTAAAACCTTAAAATCAACCGAAAATATTTCAAAAATGTTATGGAATGATTAGATTCAATAATTTAAACTCAACCATATAATTGATAACAAAAAAGACCTGTAATATTTAACAAGGCATATCAAATATAATTATGTACATGTATTAAAATATACACGTCCTTTATCATAAACCTGAGCTATAAGATATAATATTAAGCATTGCTGGAAGCAGAAGTCAACTTCACCTCAATTTTTATCAATTTGAAATATCAGTCAAAGAAGATAACATTTGATAATAAAACTTATTGTCTACGCAAACCTAAGACGTACATAGTTAGTGACTGTTCCTTCACTAAACGCTCAACATTAGAAGTGAAAATCACGGGTCTTTCGCATATGACCTTAAAAACATAGTTCCCGTGTCGCAGTAGTCGTTGACACGATAAAGAACCCTTTTTGCTCAATTGCCCTGAGTGCCGAATATAGGTCTAAATTTGAAGCCCTTCTCTGGTATACGGTGAATTCTCCATATGAGTGAAAATTTGCCTGAGTGCGGAGTATAGGTCTAAATTTGAAGCCCTTCAACGGTATATTACGGTGAAATCTCCATATGAGTGAAAATTTGACTGAGTGCCAAGTATAGGTCTAAATTTGAAGCCCTTCACCGGTATACGGTGAATTTTCCATATGAGTGAAAATTTCTCGGGAGAGACGACAACCAGCATACAATCAATCAAAAATACACACGCATATGTACATAAAATTAGAATTTACCTGCTTTAGGGAGACCCTAAAAATGTTTTCCTCATCAATCGGCCATCCTCTATTCAGTTTTTCCTTGATTATTCTCCACGTTTTCTCTTTGCCACCCTCTGATTCTTCGTCATCATCATCTTCAATATCTTCTTCCACTATATCCCACTGATTGGTGACAAAAAGGGCTTCTTTCGGGTCGAAGCAAGGCATTTTCTCAATATTATTCTTGATGGATGTAAGAATTTCTAACAACTGTTAAATACAAAAGGAAAATTGATTTATTTGAGGGAGAACAAAACTTCATTGTTTTTGCATGCTCTTTAGACTTGATACTTATTGCCTTTTGTGGTTCTTTTCTACTTAAAATGTACAACCTTATTTATACAAAACGGCCAAACAAAACATGCAACTGCAATTTATTCAACAAAATATAAACTGTGTGAATAGTTTGGTTTTTATTGTTGAACTTGATATTTTTTTAATCGCGGTCATTTAAATTCGCCGATGGTGCACACAGGGTCAAAATGCCATACACTTTTAAATAAATTGTTTAAATAAAATGATGATTTTCTTCATAAAACAAGCCAAATCTTAATAAAAATAAATGTTTCGCAAATAAAGCGGTAAAATTAATCGTCATCTTCTACAATTTTTGGTATCGTTTACTAAATATACTGTGATAATAATTTTAAGTGAAACCCGAAAGAAGTGTTTCTAAAATTTAATAGAAAAAGAGACAAAAGTAACAGCGTCCATTAACACAGTTATGTTTAATATAGTTTGACGTCAGACTATAAAATGTCTTTATTTAGTTCATTGATTTATAATTTGTGCATACAATTTTTCAACGGTGTGTACAATTTCGAAGACAATTCAACAAGTGGAGAACTACTGTAATTTGATGAAAATGAGATAGAGCAAATCGCAAAATACCTAAAGGATTACATTGTCTGTGACGAGCTGACGCTTTGCTTGTCGGGAACTTAAAATACTACGTCACATTCTCGCCACATCAAAGGACGTAACCGAGATCGCTAAAGTAGGTAAGCTGCAACGTACAGCTTGTTTTCGGGGTTTAAAAAATGGAGTAGAAAGTCCCGATGTCGTTTTCTTGATTGTTACCTGCAAAGTTTAAAGTTTTTTTAACATTGAATAACAAAAAGTTATTTTAAACCTTGAATTTAAAAATGTAAAGATTTTTTTCAGTCCATTACGAATATTTTAATTGGTCGATTATTTTATTCTATTATCGCAAAATTTACTTTTTTCATATTTGCGAACAAGTATAAAAGTCGAGTAGTGCATGATTCATTGATCATTAGACTTATTAGTTACGCGTATCAACCAAAGTCATGCATGCTGAGATTGTTGCAATTTTGTACAAAATATACTGGTGAAAAATGGATACCCTCTTTATGCGTATATTCGAGAGAAAAGATAAAGAGGGAAGGCCGGGGGAGACGTGTCCATTTACCTTCAAATCTTATCGATTGAAGTTCAATTTATTTTTAAGTTTTAACGAATGTTGTATGTACAAGGTAATTAATACCAAACGACGGAAAATATCTAATTATCATGGGCGTCGGAAGCAAATTAAAGTCGGGTCTAAGGGTAAGAAATATTTTTAGACCTCCAAAAAAATACTGAGAAAAAAAAAACACACACACACACACACAAAACAAAAACAAGGGATGTGTATTTTCCAAACACAAAAATCCTATTTTGTAGGTAGTAGGTATTACGCAGCAATGTTCAATGTTTATACTAAGTCTAACTTTGAACCTCCCCCCTCCTCCCACAGTCTCTGCTCGCCCGGTTTCGACACCTATTATGTCTATAAAGCCTAAATCTAATTACACATGCATTTTCTGATTCCTAGAGATGGTCTGGCAGATTTTGAAAATAAATAGACTGTTCTCGAAAAAAAAATAAAATAAAATACTAGTAATCTATCCTCGACTAGCAAAAAATATAAATAAGCTGTCCTTGGATAGTACTTCCAACCCCCAATCCCCACCCGAAACGGAGTTTACCTTTATCTTTGGCTTGTCAAACAGATGCAAAAAAATTATCCGTCCCTGACTTACATGATGATAGGAAAAAAACTTAAATGAATTTCACCAGCCCCTCTCCTAGGCGCCCCACTACTCACACAGTTTATGTACATTTGGTATATACCGGTATATTATATAGACAGCTGGTGAAACAAGGAACATTTGGTATATACCGGTATATTATATAGACAGCTGGTGAAACAAGGAACAATCGTCTCTAACTCCTTTTTTTCTTTCACTTTTCCAACTAATCTCATGTAATAATTGACTTTTTTAAAAGCACCATTTATTCCAGATACTTAACTTAATCATTTCAAAGTGGGGTGAAGGAATAGATGGAAAGGAAAACCCGAAAAAAAAACTCAAAAATGTAGAATGATGGTTATCATCATTATAAATAGGAAGTTTCAAAGGACTCAAAATTAAGAATTGGGCAGGGAAGAGGTTTTTCCTCTCATATTCGTCAATATTTTTGCAATATAACGCGAAAGAGATTATATTGGACTGTGAAAAATAGTTGCAGAAGGGTGTTGGTAAAACAGGCCTCTGAATAAAAATCTCAATACATAACAAAAAAGTTTTTCAAAAATAGGGGGGGGGTAGTTAATGAAAACTACCATTTTAAGAATCCTATAGTTAATCAAGAACCCTGGACAAGTGATGGCGGGGGGGGGGATGTTGACCCTTTTTAAATTTTTAATTTATGGATGAGATGGGAGTTAGTCTTTAAAGCGGCAATCCCAACTACGGTCACTCGGTAAATGGCACACGTTGTGTTGAGTTCACTCGGTACAAGCGTCACACGAACTTTACTGTCAGTATCATAGTAGGTATAACTGGCGTTAAATATGTCAGCATTGTTGATGGGCCTTCAAATACAGCTGAATTTCTAAAGTTTGTAGGCGATTCATTTACTTATAACTCCCCATAAGATAATTCTCTTGATAGCAAGAAAGAAGACATAGACTCGATCAACACAAAAATCCTGAGCGCCAAAGATTATCTGCTGACCCTGAAAGCCAAATACCAAAATAGCTTTAATAATGGTGGGCGAGGGAAGCAGTGTTCGAACTGTCATCTCCGACTCGACCACATAGTTCGGCAACGTCGGTTAGAGAAGTGTGAAAGTGCCTGTCAAGGACAGATTATTTATTTTCTTCTTTGTCTTACTGTAATATTCCGGAAATTTATATTGTTATCATATAGATTCAGTCATTAGGTTGCGGGTGTAAACATCTTCTTTAAAAGGTATATAAAGACTGAATCCACATTATAGAGTGTTCAATCCAGCGCAAGCTGTGCTAAGAGTAAGACGTGTGCGAACCATAACAGCAGTAAGTGAGACTTAACAAAATAAAGTTAGCTTACAGAAGAAGTCCACCTTATAAAATTAATGAGGTGTAGTCTACACAAATTGTGAATTTATAAAGGCTGTTATGTTTTGGAGTGGCAAGCCACTCAGAGGTTAACCAGCAACGGCGGTTAGCTACCTCAACTGTAATTCGTCTTGAGATTGTTGAACCGTATGGCAACCAGGCTGTTGTGTGCAGTGTGTCTGCCTGAATAAGGCTAGCAGTGTGCACGGCAGTTGAAGGGCTGTCACTTGTACTGACTGTGTCCTGAATAAGGCTGCAGTACACGTGTCAGTCCGAGGTTGGCCAGTGTAAGGGATAGCCTACCCACTGCCATTTGCCTTATCATCTGTAATTATTTGATTCACCTTTGAATATTGTCGTCGTGATTATTAACATAGATAAGGTTGGCCATTTATTTGTATATTTTGCAGGCCTTTGTAATCATTTGTCAATCATTTATTAAGAAAAATTATATTATATTGGAAATCATCCCCCAAAACCTTGAATCGACAAGGTACGGTCCCCCATTGCTGTTTATTATTCCGCTCGACACGTTACATTACGGTACATTGATCGATTGATTCTGAACGACTAATCGTTTATTTACCATAGGCGGATTCAGGATGGGGGCGTTTATAACGTCGTTCAGGCAAGAGGTCTGGGGCCCCAGTTGGTCCTGGGCGAAGCACTTGTGGAAGCCAAGGGAGGGATATTTCCGTGAAGCTCTTGGGTTTTCGGGTATTGTAAGAGTAAAACCAGGACAGTTATCGTGGTATTGGTTATTATGTAGCAAAGTATGACATTATTAATATATTGGTCAGATCATAATTTGGATTAAGCGGGTGAGTTTTTGTGTATTTTAAGAGTAAAACCAGGCACAATTATGTAGCCAAAGGTATGACATAATAAATACTAGTTATAATTTACTGTAAATGAAGGTGGCCCAGGGGGCGAAGCCCCCTGAAGCTCTTGGGTTTTTGTGGATTTTAAGAGTTAAACTATGCACAAAAATATTGGTATTGTACTAAAGTATGGCAATATTAATATAATTCATATCATTATTTGAAATTTTAGGAGAGGGGTCAAACACATGTATGCCTTTCTTAAATCCGCCACTGTATACTTTGTATTAATTTATCGGAAAGTATAATTCTTTGACAAGAAAATTTATCTTTTGTGTTGTTTAAGAATTTGCTTGTATTTAAAGTGATCCATCACATCTACTGAATGCACATTGTAATGTTGATCAACTGACTACATGTATCCAGTCTGATAATCTGATTTTAAATATTATTTGGTTCTAAAATGGCGAGCGAAGCGAGACAAAAAAATGCTGAATTGAAGATTCTGAGGTTAAATTACACGGAAATAAAAATGTATTTCACAATATTTAAATCTCATAAGTCAAGGTAAGATTATTTTTTTTCTTTGAAGAGGAGGACAGATTATTTATTTTCTACATTTTCAGGGACTGATTATTTATTTCCAAAATCTGCCAGTCCCCCCCTTCAGAATCAAATGGTCGTCCCCTATATGGTATTGCATACACTTGGAAATGTGGCATAAAAAAATAACCGTATGTACATGAACTTGAGATAAAAAATCAAAATCCTTAATTATAACGTTATAATAATGAAAAGAACAAAGTGCGGTATTGCCCCAAAAATGCCGCGTTTCATATCTGCTCCATTCAAAACATTCTAAAAAGCCTAGGATTTTTAAACTAAATGGTATATAATTTATATATATGACTCAAATGTATGTTTTGAAAAAATAACACTCAATACTGCACCTTTCATATATAGCAGAAGACGAAATTTTACGAAAAAATCAAGACGCGACGTCATTATTTTAATATGCTAGCTAGGCGTCATCAGAAATCGCATACTCCTTAATAAAGGTCAATGTTAAAGTTTCTGTTGTTTTTAATATTTTAGCATATGATAATTTGTGATTATCTCTATCTAGCTGCGTAGTGAGATGGGAATACACCGAATTTACATATAAAGCCCCCCCCCCCCCCCATCCTATTTATTTATAGGGATATATCAATGCACATGTTTTTCTATATTAAAGCTAAGCGAAGTGCATTATTAAGTTGTGTTTATTTTTTTGTTCCAGGTAAATGCTTATAAGTAGCATTTGCATACATTTATAGATTTATATATAAAAATGTATGTCAGTTTGTTTGTCACAAGCCTGCACCCTTCAAACGGGGTTTTCCACGTTTTAGAGTGTTGGAAAATTTTCTTGGTTAGAAAAATTCTGACCCGTTTCTTAAAAAATGCAGAGCGCAGTAAAAAGGAATTTCTTAATGTACATGTTTCATTTTGCTTTATATGCTCCCCTCCCGCTATTGGCAAAATTCCTGGATCCCTCCTTGTCATAAACATATACGAAAAAAAATAAATGAAGTTCAAATTCTTTTTATCATATTTGTTATACTGGGTATGTACTACATGAACAATTTATGGAATTGTTATAAATTGTGAACACATAATGGGGGGGGGGGGCACATTCAGCGTATTCCCCTATCAAATCGGAATTGTTTGTCTAGGTTATAGATGAAAATACCACAGAAAAATAAAGTTAAATTAAGATATACATGTTTTGGTTTTTATCTGTTTTACAACTGAAAAAAAATAATATTTGGATCCGATACCTAAATTTTAAAAAGTATAGTTGTTGGCTATCTGTCTGCATGCACTTCGATTAAAAAGTGATTGTGTTTCAATTGTATTCGACTGCATGAATCGATATTGCATAGTACGTTTCGGAGCAATATAAAGCGCAGATCTATACGTACCGTTATTTAAGAGACGAATTTTGCATATACATATACGTATCAATTTAATTGAAAAGATGTATTGTTTGTGGATATGATTAGTTATACAACACACTCGCAGTTTTTACCTTACAAGGTAGACACAGCAAATATATTAAGAAGCCAACAGAGATATCCTAAATCATTCCGTGGAGATCTCTTTCAAAGAAAATCTGTTTGCATTCGTAACAACGAACACCGAGGGGTTTGTCCATATTTTTTCATCTTTTAGAAACTTTACTGAAAATCTTTAACAATTAAATCTTAAAAATCCCAAGGATGAAAACGGGGGATCCCTGACTTGAAGAGCTTAGACCATGCCCTGGGGGAGCCCAGTTAACTGGTGGATATCGCTGAGCAATATCGGATAAATATTGAATTTATTTAAATGCTTTTAATTTTTATAAACATACTTCAAAAGAGTTGCACCCACCGCCGATCAACCAACTGCATATATACTAATGAAACAGGTAAAAATCCCACAGATACTTTTTGAGAGAAGCCCCCACCAGCTCCACAAAACATACATCACTTTACAGTATAAGAGAGACTGTGGATCGATTATTTGGGGGAGGGTTACGATTTTTACTTATTGTACACATGATGAATAAGTGTTATAAATATAATTTGCTAAAGAAAAGTCCAATGAGCTCATGGTGTGTAGGGTGGGTGGGTGAGGAGGGGTCCTGTTCACAAGTACCTGTGTGCAGTGCAATGGGCAAGGGCGACGCTGTTAGTGTGGACACTATACATAGATATCGGGATTTTTTTTTCTTGAAAAGAGATTCTTTTTTTAATTAGGATTTTAATGTTTAACGTCTATCAAATATAAGTATGACAGTTTTACATAATATTTTTCACAACTAACGGCTGGATACAGTAAAGTGATTTTACATGTAAAATGTCCATATTTTGAAGGCTATGTCTGCATTATTTCAAATTTTATATTTATTGTAAAACTTTTTATAATACTATTTTATTGTATATTTTATTTAATGTTGCTGTTATATTTATTCAAAGAGATACATTTAAAACACACGCATACAATATTACATATAGGCTACATAACATGTACATTGTGTAATAATAATTAAAGAGAATCCAGTTTCACTACTCGTAGGGAAAATTTTTAAAATATATTTCTGAAAATAAAAAATATCTTCGTGTTATTTTTATGGAATTAATTTAATCTTGAGAGATTTTGGTATCGTTTTTCAGTACTGTTATTGGGTTCTACGCACGTGCATTTAATAAATGGCATCAGTGCAGGTGGCGTATTTCAATACAACTTAATCCTTGTTTTCAAAAGATTTTCCATTCATGAAATGTTTATTATTTATCACCGTTAACCTTATATGTATATAAGATTACCAATGACTATTGTTATAATTTAAATTGTAAAATTAATCCTATTTTGCGTCAGATGTGTGTCACGAACATCGATATCAAGTAAAATCAGTTTGGTAAAATGTCGTTTTTTCGTATTGAATTTTTCAAAATTCATATTGAGCGCAAGTGACAACCAACACCATTTTAATTGTATGAGTAATACAAGTACCAAAGAACTTACATGCAAAATATAAAATTGGTTGTTGCATGCGCAGGGGTCTAATTTTTTGAAAGATCGTTTATTTCAAACCATTTTTCAACGAATTTTAGCTAACATTCCGTGTTTAGAGCGTATTTGTGACTTCATAATGAAAAATTACGTCATCATTGTACCTGTTGAATTTAGTTCGCATCTTACTTACTCCAATGCTGAACATCAAAAGATGAAAAAGAAAAGTTTAAAACATTGGAAATTTTGCGGCAGATTACCACTAATACCGCCCTTTGTTCTTAGCGTTACGTCAGATTTGGCCGTGCATTTGCATATACAAATTATTTACACCTATAACGTTCAAAAAATAGTGTGCATTGTTTTGTTTTTCTAAAATTTTTACTAAATCATTATTAGATAAATGTCTTATCGTACGATCTATCTAGTCATGTATAACATTTTTATATACGAGTTGGAACGTTGGATCTGTAGTTTTAGCGCCATATTGAATAAACATATGTCTTGAGTTTGAGCTCGGAGTTACATTCAATGAACCAAGTCATCCAAACAATCATGGTCTATATTAAGATATTATCATTCATGTTTGTCATTGCAGACTTAATTAAAAGAATTAAGCATTTGTCCACGAACTTTTTGACAACCCTCGTATAAAAGATCGTGTTGTTATTGTCATTAAAATAACTTAAAATTCTTATTTACATTGCCGCAATTAAAAATCTCAATATTTTTAAGTCCACTGCCAAAAAGACAACAGGAATCACAGAAATTGGCATCTGTCAACCTGTCTGTCTGTTAGTCACCAAAAACTTGTTTATAAATACTGAATTTATAGTTGGAGCAACGGTTCTCAAAATTCACATGTTTATATCGTATAATAAAAATTTTCTTTGGCACCAACAAGTATGACCTTTGGCTCAATTTTAAATAAGATTAATGTTGACCAAATGTTTTGAATTGTTGATGCTACGTCTTTCATATCACAGCTGTTTATTCCTTGTAACTATATCTTTCGAATGGTATACTTTAATCTTGCAATTTGACCCACTTTTATTAAAAAAAATTCTCTTTTTTTATATAAATTTCATATAAGAAGAGTCTAATTAAAATAAAATCAAAGGGATTCGGCACATTGCGATATCATCAATGGGCATTCAAAAACATTTTATTGGATTTAACTTTTGAAATTTGAAAATGTTGTGATGATATTTATTTAACAGTAATGATTAAATAATTTGATGATTTTAACTTTTTAATTTTAAACTTCCCTTACTTATCCAACAATATGCCTTCATCATCTGCATACGGGATATTTATTTCTCTCAGTTGATTCAAAATGCAAGAACACGTTCTACGTATGAACAATTTCTAGAACGAGGTAAATTATTCACAAACAAGTTGACGAAACAAGAATATCAGCATTTCGTAAATTCTGTGGTCGACACAATGACCTTGTCAGCAAGTACAATTTATCATTAAGAAAAATACTGACAGACATTTTTCATACTAATTGTTAAGCCATTACTTACACAGTATAATGTCGAGGATTTTCTTATTTCCCAATCAAGGATAAGGAGCACACGGCGGATGTGACCAGTCGGCAGGAGATACTCACTTCTTCATGGCACCCGATCCCACCTCTGATTTTTAAAGGACCGTGTTTGCTCTGCTCCTATTTTGTATTGTTAAATAGACTTTTGAGCTTGAATATTGTTCGTTATCTCCATATATTTCATTTAAGGCCTGAAAAAGATATCCAATTTTTCTTATCATTAGGTACATTTTTCGTTACTCTTTAGTGATATCTAAAATTAATATTTAAACATACACAAACTTTATCTCATGTTAGTAGCGTCTAATTTTAAAATAATTACCCTCCCCTGTTGAACCCCACCGGCATTCCTGGCATTAACAACAAATATAAATGACACTGCATCAGGTAAAAAATCCAGCAGAATCTGGTCAAGTTCTTTACTTTCTCCGATTCCTGGTGTATCAACAAGGATCACACTGCCCTATAAACGTATTAATAAAATTTTATATATATTTATGAACATAATTAAAACCATAATTTGTTGCTGGGTAGGATTTTTATCCAACGAGTTGTGTGTATTTAACGATAAAGGTGGTTATTATTTTTTTAGATGCACAACGAGTTTGATAACATCATATCCAAGAACAAATCATTGGCGATTATTTTATAATATGTAAAAACAGTCCTTTCATGAGGTCGATCCATAGATATATCGACCTTACAGAAAAGCATATCTACCGAGCACGAAGTTCGAGGTCGATTACTTTTCTCTGAAGTCGATATATCTATGGATTAACCAAATAAAGGTGTTTCCACCCTCACAATTTTAATGGTTCAAAGTATAAAAACTGCATTTATTTTCAATTAACATAATTTTAATTTTCAAATTATTGCAAAAAATGTATAGGTCACCATACAATTTTAGATGCGAAACATAAATAAACTGAAGTGCAAGACAACATCAAAAAAATCTCACACTTTTCGTGAACAGTATTATGAACCAGAAGTCTCTGTCGAGACTGTAGCTCTACTGGTTTGTACTTATCAAAAACCATTGCACTATTTTATGTATCATTGTGTAGTCTACTTGTGTGCCAACTTATTTTGAAATCAAACTAAAACTGTAGAAGGAGTAGCGTTTTAAAGGAATTTCACAGAAAATTCTATTTTTAATAACCATGGCAACACCGTTCATCGAAATCAAAAACCCATGCACTATTCTATGTATCTTAGTGTTTTCTACTTGTGTGCAAAGTTATATTGAAATCGGACCAAAACTGTAGAAGGAGTAGCGTTTTAAAGGAATTTCACAGAAAATTCTATTTTTAGTAACCATGGCAACACCGTTCATTGAAATCAAAAACCAGGGATTTTCCACACCAATTTGGGAATGGGGCCCGGGCCCTTGCAATTGGGAATTTTACGACGTTTTATCAAAAATTGGGAAATTCTGATATGCTAATGTAAGACTACATTTCAAGAAAATTAAAATTAAACACTGTTAGTGAGTCAGAATAAAGTTTATTGTCAAAACAATATATTAAAATTTAACCATTCTATTCTTTTGTGTTATAAAAAGTGTGATTGCTCGGTTCAAGATTTCCTGATTTAATTCATCATCATTTAAGGAAGAACTGCAAAGTCTCATTAAATGATCCAATGAAGAATTAGTCAGTCTATTTCTCAAGGTTGTGCACAGCAAGTTCATTAAACTGAAAGATCTTTCAACAGCTGCTGTCATTGATGGAACTGTAAGGGCCAGTCCAAGAAGATGCATCATATTTGGGAAACTGTTTCTCAAGATTGGGTCCTCTCTCATATGTTGGTACTGTTCCAAAGGTGAATCGATGCCCCTTGATCTAAAAGTAATTTAAGAATGATATAATAACTATCAACATATTAGATATAGATATCAATATCACTATAATCATGAAATATAATCAATGAATCAGTATCAAAATCATTTAAGGTTCCTTAAAATACAGACGTTTAGCAAAGAATTTATGAAAAATTCAATATGAGTAAGTTTTAAATATACATGCTATTCTCCTTAGATATTATTCCAGTCAAGATATATAAATTACATTTTCCATAAAAGTTACCTGTTTGTTAGGCTTAGGTTTTTTTTCAGGGATGAATGCTGAATTGAAATCAAAAAGTTGTCAATGTGTTACCAACTTACAGAAACAAACAAAAAAAAAAGTTTAAATCAAAAACTAAAATAAGTTAGTAAATGTAAGAAACATTGGGAAAATGAATCTTGATATATATAAAAGTAAACTTAAAAAAATTAGATATTACACTAATCAAAAATAATTTGAAATAATTTGTTTATGAGTAATAACATTGAAAAAATTTGATATTAATTATAAATGAACTTGAAAAAATTACCTCATAATAAGCATCTGATGCTTGAATGCTTTATACTCTGCACACACCTGGACAGGTGCATTCAGGTCACTGCAACATCTTGTGACATGGTTCTGAAATGTGTCTTCCTTTGGATTTCCATAAAAATTGGCTATCCTGTCCATTTCAACCTTTACAATTCATTAAACATTATTATAAAATCCTTTCTGATTGATTGATATTAATAGAAATTAAATAGTTGATTGATATTAATAGAAATTAAATAGTTCATTTACAATTAAAATTTAATTATAAAAGAAGAACTTAAATAAGCTTATCAGATGCTTACATCTCCAAAGCCAGGGATTTCTTGTATATTCTGTGGTAAGTTTCTAGGGTCTAGTATTCCTAGTGCTTGCAAAACTGGTTTACATCTAAATGCATCTTACACTTCAGCAATCAATAAATAAATGAATGGGACTCCTATGGTTCTTAAGAAGTCATCTGGAGTTGTGTGATGAAGATTTCTACGTCTCATGGCCAACTGTGTTCTGTCAGTGATTTCATCAAAAAAACTCCTGAATCTTGGAAAACTTAAGCTCAGGATCAATTTGTGGTCCTTGCAGTTTTTGTATAATGTCATGGAGAGTATCAGTTGCATGTCTGACATGTGTGCCAATGTGTGTGAAATTTACATACTCTCCTTGTAAATACACACTCAAGTGTGACAAGGGTTTCAGCACATCACACAGTAACATCATCATGGCAACGGTATTTTGCTGTGTCAAGCAAAAGCGAATTCCGTATACTTCAGGTTGTTTCTTTTCATCATAAATCTCATCTAAAATGTCTATTATTGTCCCATACCTGTCAATAACTCTGCTACAAGCTTTCTCATGAGATAACCATCGAGTAGACACAGCTTTGACTAGTGCATAAGACTTCATACCATACATCTCTTGAAGGTCTTGGAACATTGTGAGTCTGCGAAGTGAGTGTTCAAATAACTTCCAGAGAGACAAAAGAACACTATCAACATCTTTCAAGGATGAATATGTAGGCATAAGGTGTTTTAAGCACAAAGCAAGTCGGTGATTTCGACAATTAATGTATAAACAATGCGGAGAAATATGTCGTACTCTTCTCTGTAAACCTAAAATTTATAAATTTATAAATAATTAAATTAATATAATTAAATAGTCTGTCATTTTATTTTTTTCAGATTTTCATCAAAACTAGAATCTTATTTTTAAAATTACAAAATGAAAGGTACTTTAAGAAAGAAGAATTATTTAAATGATTTAAATTAAACATACCTGATATTTCACCACTCATTGTATTAGTACCATCAAATGCTGTGAATCGAACTTTCTCAAAATCTAGATCTTTGGCTAAAAAAAACTGCTGAATTGCCTCCAGAAGACTCTGAGCATCTGTTTTTTTCACATTGATGAGACCTAAGTAGCGACCTTCAAACTTCCCCTCAGAGGGCCAGAGGGCCAAGAGGGCAAACTGGGTTCTATTTGCTTCGTCCGTGCTTTCGTCTGCTAAGAGGGCAAAGTAAGGAGCATTCCTCAATGATTCCAACTCTTTTTCTTCTACTGCATCACTTAAAGCTTTCAAAATGTCTGATACTGATTTTGATGACAGGTAAGTTATTTTAGGGTCATTTTCTAGATATCTCTGGATTTCTTGGCATCCTACCTGACCAACGAAACGCACAAAATCTTCAAAATTTTCTGTTAAAGCCCACTTCTTCCTGATCATAAAGTAGGCGCATTTAAATAGTTTCTCAAGATAATTTCTATTATCCATTTTACTTTTGGAATTTTCATCAGTCATTGAGCTCCAGATATTCAATAAAGTAGATCTATTACTTTTACTGGTGACAGCTGATGCATGCTTTAGAAGAGCATGTTGGTGTCTTTTGCTCTCTTCATGTTTCTGAAATTTACGTGTAGGGTGAGTGCCTAAACTGACGCCTTCCTCTATGAATTTTCTAGAAGACCCCAGTTGATCAGGTGTAGATGAAAATATTTCGCAGTATTTGCATAAATACCCCCATTTTGAATGGCTGAAATATAGCCATTTATAGATATCCTCGTATTTCTTGGCATTAAATAATCGTTTATCGTGTAATTCTGATTTGGCACCTATGTCATCATTTTCACTTAAATCACTATCTGTTTGACTTTCTTTCTGAGATTGATCAACCTGACTGCATTGAAGAGACTCGGAGGTCGACTCTGTTTCTGAACCATCAGAAATTTCATCACATTCAATTTCTGCTTGATTGTCATTATCAGTTTCATTTTCTTCATTTTGAATTTCGTTTGATTGAAGCTCATCGTCACAATTACCCTTAGCTACGGAAAAAAGTAAAATATGTAAATTTAACTTAGTAAGATTTCGTTTCGTTTTCGAGGAAATTTGAAACGACGCCATTTTTACTATGCTGTCATATTGCTTGAAAAACATGAAAATATTCTTTACTTTGTCACTTACTTTTAAAAAAACTCCGTTAGGCTCCTGTTGCCTTTACATTTCGTCAAGGTCTTTTTGTAATATTTCGAATTGTGGCTCATTTTTCACATGTCACGTTTCTGCACTAGCCAGATGTACGTTTTTTTTTAGAATTCCGATCCCGCATATTTGTAAGAATTCCGATCCCGACCGAATTTTAAACGCAAATGATTTTAGGGGAAAAATAGGGGGAAAATTTGGGAAAAAAGGTAGGTTTTTGCGATTGGGAATGGGGCCGAAATTCGGCCCTACACGGGGCAGTGGAAAATCCCTGAAAACCGATGCACTATTCCATGTATCTTAGTGTAGTCTACTTGTGTGCCAAGTTATATTGAAATCAGACCAAAATTGAGGAAAGAGTAGCGTTTTAAAGGAATTTTACAGAAAATTCTATTTTTAGTAACCATGGCAACACCGTTCATTGAAATTAAAAACCGATGCACTATTCTATGTATCTAAGTGTAGTCTACTTGTGTGCCAAGTTATATTCAAATCAGACCAAAACTGTAGAAGGAGTAGTGTTTTAAAGGAATTTCACAGAAAATTCTATTTTTAGTAACCATGGCAACACCGTTCATTGAAATCAAAAACCGATGCACTATTCTATGTATCTTAGTGTAGTCTACTTTTGTGCCAAGTTATATTGAAATCAGACCAAAATTGTAGAAGGAGTAGCGTTTTAAAGGAATTTCACAGAAAATTCTACTTTTAGTAACCATGGCAACACCGTTCATCGAAATCAAAAACCGATGCACTATTCTATGTATCTTAGTGTAGTCTACTTGTGTGCCAAGTAATACTGAAATCAGACTAAAATTGTAGGAGGAGTAGCGTTTTTAAAAATTGTTTACAGACAGACGGACAGACAGACGGACAGACAGACAGACAGACAGACGGACGGACGCCGGACGCATTACTATCGCATAAGCTCTTCTGGTCTCTGACCAGTAGAGCTAAAAATATGTAAAAACTGGTTAAAATGCATAATTCTGATGTTGAATTCCTTAATTCTTCCTACTTATCAGATTCTTTTAAATAGTGAATATATCAGAAAATATTTTACATTAGAAGTACAATTAAGCAAATGCCTGAATAAATAGACCTGAGAAGGAGTTATTGCCCTTTTTTAAAGATTGAATAATTGATTAAATAAAGAAAATGTGCATTTTTAATTTCTTTTTCTTAAAAATATTTATCATTACACCTATTGTAAAGCATTCTTCCAGAAGATATTGTTCTATTAGATATAGATTTAAACTAATAACAGTTTTTTGGGGAAAAAAACTATGACATCATAGGAGGGTGGAATTATAATTTGAAAATAATGGAAACAGAGATTGGCAGAACATATTTTGAAATTAATGGAAACAAGCCAAAATTTTCTTTTTTGTGATTTTTTAACACTAAGAGACTTAAGATCAAAATAAAATTAAGCTGTTTAATGTTATTGTGTTTCCTTTATACTGGCAGAATAATTCAGGGAATAAACTAATTTTTATTATATTATGTATCGATGTTTGAAAAGAACATTTCTGTTTTAATATATAAAACATAAATAATAACTAGAGCTTTGTTGCAACCACTATTGAAATAACGACCACTATTGAAATAATTATATAATAGTGGTTGAGAGTGCATTTCAATAGCAAACATAGTAACCACTATTGAAATACAACCGCTATTGAAGTAATCATATCAATAGTGGTTGAAAGTGCATTTCAATAGAAAACATAGTTAGTAGCCACTATTGAAATACAACCACTATTGAAGTAATTATATTAATAGTGGTTGAGAGTGCATTTCAATGACAAACATAGATATCAACCAGTATTGAAATACGACCAATATTGAAATAAGTATTTCAATAATGGGTGAGAGAGCATTTCAATATGATGACCATAGGTTTCAACCACTATTGAAATACGACCAGTATTGAATGAAAAGTTTCATCGCGTGATTTTTAATTTTTTATCCAAAATTTTAAAAAGATTAGATTATGGGTGGCAAATATATAGATGAATAATTAAAGTGTGTAAATTGATAAGGAAGGTTTACAATTTCTTTATATTCTGGAAATATATTTATTATTATGATTATTTTTTGCATCATTTTCAATGAAATCGAACCACAAAAATTTATACTAATCCAGGAATTCATTTTTTGTTGTATCATCTTTCCTTTAAGGGCTAGGTGGTCGTGGCCATTTTTAGACTATTTTGATCTTAATTAGAAGAAGAGCTCCACATAAAGATAAAATAAAATGATCAAATTTAAAAGATAAAATTTATGAAATTTTATTTGCCAAATGATAGTCATATCCCAAAATTTAAGTCAAATCTAGTGGTTAAATAAAAATAATTAAATGACCCCCCTAGCCTCCTTAAATGAAGACATACATTGTATAGATAGTTATTAAAGTTATAATTTCAAAAGTGATTTAAATATTTATGTTGATAGTTGCTGATAATATTACAAAACTGAAATCCTAATTTAATCCATATTGAAATCTTTATTTCAAAAGTGTACATTATTTCAATAGTGGTTGCAATCTATGTTTGTTATTGAAATGAATCTCACCCACTATTGATATAATTATTTCAATAGTAGTCGTATTTCAATAATGGTTATTACCAATGTGTGTTATTAAAATACACTCTCAACAACTATTGATATAATTATTTCATAAGTGGTTACTATCTATGTTTCCTATTGAAATGCACCCTCAACCACTATTGATATAATTATTTCAATAGTGGTCGTTATTTCAATAGTGGTTGTAACAGAGCTTTATTCGAAGCATTCTTACCGATAATAATGGAACATGACAATTATAAACAGGAGCGGAAGATTTTTCTTCAGAATCATTAAGTCATACACCGTAAATACCGTGTATTAGCTATTGAGAAACCAGCACTATTGTGATTCTACAGAAAATTATTTCAATTTTTAGACACATCAGGGCGATATGCATTTCAGAATCTTTAAATAGTAACACAAGTCTTCATTCTGTTATAAACTTGATCAGTTGAGCCGATCAGAGAGCTTGGAATAACTGAGAAAAATAATATAATGTTTAATACATCACTATCGATGTCTGCACTTTTTGTAAAATGAATCCACACTTCCTACTCACATCTTTTTTAAGCACATTGCAAAGCACATCAGTGGGATATGAAAAAAATATATCCAATGATTAATATCCACAAGTTAAAAGGTAAAAGTGTAAAAAAAAAAAAAGGTATGTTCGGGCTTCATACTTCACACATGTTATCCTTTTGGCCAGACAGTTCATTTGATACCAACAACCTTGACCTTTTGACCTTGCCCTGGAGATTGACCTACTTTTAAAATAAATTCAACCTTGGCCATACCTTTTGAACTGTAAGGGTTAGGGCTTTCATACTTCACATATGTAATCCTTGTGACAAGAACTTTTCATTGGATATCAACTTTAATCCTTGGATATTGACCTACTTTAAAAAACCTTAACCTTGGAAAAAACTGATGAAGGGTTAGAACACAGTTTTTCATACTTCCCATATGTAATCTTTGTGGTAAGGCCTTTCTTTAGAAACCATAATCCTGTCCCTCTGATCTTGAACCCAGAGTTTGACCTACCTTCAAAAAACGTTAACTTTGGACATAACTTTTGAACAAGCGGTGCTAGGATTTTATATTTCACTTTTGTATTTCTTGAGAAGGACTGACTTTCAGTATCAACATTTCTGTCTTGCATTTGTACAAGAAAATTTAACCTTCGCTATGTTGCTTTACGGGGGCATCAGTGTTTTACAAACACATCTTATTTTCCTCAAAAACAAGCGTATACCCTTGCACTATCCTCATTTCCTACATTCGGATTTACAATTTTATTTTTATACTAGTCACTTGACAAATAGCTGATAAAAGCGAAATAACTGGTACCTTGTACGGTTTAGTCCCATTCATTATGGATAGCTATATATTATTATTTCTACATGTATTCAGTTACTTTGTAAATATTTTTTTTAAAGCAATACATATCAATATGCTGCTAAGATCACAATTTCCATTTCGGTCTTTAACATAGCAAAGAAAACAGGAAAACAGATATATAAAATAAACGCTGAACTTGATGTCTATTAATTTTTGTATTCAAATTGTTTAATTGGAGAAGCTATCTTCAGGAAAAAAATCAAGAAATTTTATTCTTGACATTATTTAATTGATTAAATAGCAGACAAGAAAGAAAGAAAAAAAATGTGTATCTTACACACGAGTTGTGTTAAGTCATCTTAACTATAGTGCTCATTAATTGAACACTCACCTCTAGTACTGAACATGGCATTAAGACATCAACAAAGTAGATTTTCCTCAGGTCTTCATCTGATCCAACGTCCATTCCTCTTTTTATTAACTTTTTCAATTCTTTAAGATCTTTTACGTTTTCTTCTGTTTTCAATTCATCTTGTTTTGTGTAGTATTTGCAAGCTAACTTTTCGGAATTACGAATTCTATATATTTTACTCGTATTCGCCATATTGCTAGCCACAAATATCTTTTCACCAAGAAGGCAATTTATCAGTGATGTTTTCCCAGCACTTGTTTCTCCTGCAAAACGTGAAACAAATATTTTAGTTTTTAAATTTCGAAGAATGGTACCCAGGTCTTACCAGTTTAAAACATTGCAAGGAAACTGTAAAATGTATTTAAAGGTATTTAAGGGTCGAAGGTTCATATTTGACTATTCAAAAGCACTGCTGTGATTATTGAAATTGGAGTCTGAAAAAGATCAACACTTTATCTACGAACATAAGATTATAATCTTATCTGCTTTTCAGCAAACAGTGACTCTGAAATCAAGAGGTCTATTGACCACTAGTTGTTCCCCCGCTCTGACGTAAATACGCTCCTATGTGGATACGTACAAGTTCAGTTCAGGAGGGATTCTTGCCTGGTTTCTGACTAAAAGATATATTCAAAGTGTTTTTGCTGACATAGGATTTAAAAGTTAATATTTTTCTTATCTTTTCATAAATATACAACTTTGAACTGAGTTTGAAGTCATGGACAATATTTTTGGCGAATAAGGCACCAGGCAAGATTTATCATAATGATGTGATCGGTACAAAAGAAATCATTTTTAGAAAGGTACATGTTCCATGACTCTCGAATTGAAAAAAAAGATGTTCCTTGCCTTAAGAATTTTACAAAAGTAACTGTCCCATGGTTACATCTTGATATTTGTGAGCTTATTAAAAAAAAATAATACAAAAAGGAAAGAATAGTTAACAATTACTTCTATATATCAACTGAAGGAGACTATTTAAAAGGAGAGGTTAAAATATGTTTAATATACTCCTTTCCTATGATATCGCGGGTTCTCTAGAATAACGGTATTTCTGTTTATGAGCTGGCACGTGCTGAAAACCGCATGTGACGGCCCGATATTTTTAGACATTGTTAACATATCCATGTAGAACTCTCTGACAGTTTTTTAGCAGAATTTTGCATCTTTTGATTTTTATGCCCCCGTAAACGAAGTTTTGGGGGTGTATAGTTTTTGTCGTGTCTGTCTGTCTTTCTGTCTCCTGTCTCACAAAAACTTTAACCTTGCCCATAACTTTTGATTTAGTGGAGCTATGACTTTCATATTTCATATGTGTATTCCTTGTGACAAGACCTTTCTTTGGGTACCACCAAATTTGACCTTTTGATCTTGCCCTTGGAGTTTGACATACTTTTACATGAAAATTTTAAAATTTTACTTTGGCCATATCTTTTGAACAGTAAACACCAGGACATTTATACTTCACATATGTTATGTTTTCTTGAAGACCTTTTACTTTATACCAACAACCTTGACCCTTTGACTTTGACCTTGTAGATTTTTGTACTTGTTGAAAAACTTTAACCTTGGCGATAACTTTTGAACGGTAAGGGATAGGGCTTTCATACTTCATATATGTAATCCTTGTGAGAAGACCCCTTATTGTATATGAAGATCCTTGACCCTTTGACCTTGACCTTTGAGACTGACCTACTTTAAAAAAGCAAACCTTGACCATAACTTTTAAAGACTTAGGGCTAGTGCTTTCATACTTTACATATTTGATCCTAATGACAAGACCTTTCATTTGATAAAAATAACTTTGACCCTTTGACTTTGACCTTGGAGTTTGACCTACTTTTTAAGAAAAATTTTTAAATTTTACTTTGGCCATATCTTTTGAACAGTAGACACCAGGACATTTATACTTCACATATGTTATGTTTGCTTAAAGACCTTTCACTGGATACCAACAACCTTGACCCTTTGACCTTGACCTTGTAGATTTTCGTACTTGTGAAAAAACTTTAACCTTGGCCATAACTTTTGAACTGTAAGGGATAGGGCTTTCATATTTCATATATGTAGTCGTTGTGAGAAGACCCTTCATTGGATATGAAGATTCTTGACCTTTGACCTTGACCTTTGAGATTGACCTACTTTAAAAAAGCAAACCTTGACCATAACTTTTAAAGAGTTAGGGCTAGTACTTTCATACTTTACATATTTGATCCTAATGACAAGACCTTTCATTTGATAACAATAACTTTGACCTTGACCTTGGAGTTTGACCTACTTTTTAAAAAATTGAACGTTGACTATAACTTCTGAACAGTTAGGGCTGGGACTTTCATGCTCTACATAAGTATTTTATGTGGCAAAACCTTTCATTTGATACTAATTACATTGACCTTTTGACCTTGACCTTGGAGATTTTTGTAATTATTAAAAAAACTTTAACATTAGCTTACTTTTAAATTTCATAATTGTTTTCCAGTGAGAATACCCTACTTTTGGTACCAATTAATTAGATTTGCATTTAAGAAAAGCTTAATCTTTGCTATGTTGCCATACGGGGGCGTCAGTGTTTTACAAACACATCCTGTTTAACTTTATTTCTGTAACATTTTCGCACTTTTTCGCACGAGTACTACTTTATATAAACCACCATGACAACAATGTAAAAACTAAGATAACTTTGTTGAATCGGCACACACTGTAGTTTGGTGTTTACTAAAGAAATTAATTTAATTTTTAAAGATTCAAGAGGTTATGAACTACGACGCTTCACACCAGCATATTTCATGAAGCGCGTTAGCGCTCAATGATTAATATGCCGGCATGAAGCGTTGTTCTGCATATACTTCATGAATCTTCAAAAATGAAATTCATTTCTTATATTGACAATTTTTTTCTTACGAATAGCAACAAATTTACGCCCTTCAACAGTGGTAGTTCATGAGAAAATGAACAATGCTCCTATTTGCAAAGAATTTTTAGGAAAATTAGTTGGAAATGTAAATATAATGAAAACGAGGCTTTGAAGATAAAGTGTCTTCCTTTTATGGAAGTGTTGAAACAATTTTAAAATATGGAAAACGGTTTTTGTAAAAAAAATTAACAAAAAATTGAGAATTGTTTTCGCTGGTAAAAAAAAAAATTACACACCAGTTTGGGTTGAAACAATAAGAGTTATTTATTAAATATAGTATTCTTTCTTTCTTTCATTTTTAAAAATATTTTTCAATAGAGAAACAAATATATTTATGAATTGAAATTCAAAATTAAACCATTAAAATAAAAAAAAAATTCAGCAGTTTTTTTTTCAGTTCAGGAAAAATATCAACCCGATAGATATATATATATATAATAAATATTTCCTATTTGTTACCTCTTAAAAAAAATTATTGTCTATTTAAATATTTGTGTCTTTTTTCTCTTTATTGCATTCCCTTTTATTTGGTCACCTGAGTAACTCAGGTGACCTATTGCTATCCGTTTTTGTCCATCGTCCGTCGTTTGTTAAGGTCAGATGACATGTTCCTCAAATTTATGTTTTGTATCTCTGAATATTATATAAAAAATTATTCATATTTGCATTCTCTTCTGATTTCTACATTGTTTTCAAAATGTTTTTAAATATTAGTACACCAAAACTTGTGATATAGGCCATTTATAAGATTACCCATAAGGGTTATATAAGAAATATGACCCTGTAGTATCTTGTCCAAATGCCTGGTAAGGTACCCTAATTTTTTGTGAGGATACTTGTTTAAGTACCTTTACTTCAATGACAAATTCTTAGGAAAAATTATATATTTTTGAGGAACGTGTCGTCTGACCTTAACATTTGAATATTTTTAACTTCTATGAAACCGCTGAACCAATTTCAACCAAATTTGGTATAGAGCGTCTAAGTGTGAAGGGGAACATAAATTGTAAATTTCATGGCCCTGGTCCCCTTGGGGCCTAAGGGATGGGGCCAAAATCACTAAAATTATTGCAATCTTTAAAAATCTAATTCTTTCTCCTGGATGTCAAGCAGAAAACTGGTGGCATAAATATATTGAGCATTGAGTCCTCTATCAAAATTATGAAATTCATGGCCTCAGAGTCAGGGGTTCTAATGCTAGGGCGGTGCTATATAGATTATATAGTGAAAGTGCATCATTTCTTTAAAAATCTTCTTCTCTGCTCCTGGGTATTAAATAAACTATCTAAGTACAAAGTGATGGTGAGCAAGAATGCCTCTTCCACAATTGTGAATTTTAGGACCCCAGGGTCAGAGGTTCTGGTGTAAGGGCGGGGCTCTATTGATTATATAGTGAAAATGCATTTATTCTTTGAAAATCTTCTTCTCTGCTTCTGGGTATTAAATAAACTAACTAAGCACTTACTTATGATGAGCAAGAGTGCCTCTTCCCAAATTGTAGATTTTATGGCCCCAGGGTCAGGGGTTCTAATGCTAGGGACGGGTTATATGGATTAGGTAGTGAAATGCCTTATTTCTTTTGAAAATCTTTATCTCTGCTCATAGGTATTAAATAAACAAACTAAGTACATAGTTATGATAAGCAAGAGTGTCTCTTCCAAAATTGTGAATTTTTTGGCCCCATAGCCAGGGGTCCTGGTGTTAGGGCGGGGTTCTATTCGTAATAAAGTGAAAATGCATTTATTCTTTGGAAATCTTCTTCTCTGCTTCTGGGTAATAAATAAACTAATTAAGTACATAGTTATAATGAGCAAGAGTGCTTCTTCCAAAATTGTGAATTTTATGGCCCCAGGGTCATGAGTTATAGTGCTTGGGAGGGGCTATATAGATTGTATAGTTAAAATGCATTATCTCTTTCAAAATCTTTTTTTCTTTGTTCCTGGGTATCAAATAAACTAAGTAAGTACATAGTTATGATAAGCAAGAGTGCCGCTTCCAAAATTGTGAATTTCATGGCCCCTGGGTTGAGAGTTCTGGTGATAGGGCGGGGCTCAATTGATTATATAGTGAAAATACATTAATTCTTGGAAAATCTTTTCCTTTGCTCTTGCTCCTC